GATATGTATGTACATACTGCATGATTTAAAATTAATAAAAATTGTAATCATCATATGTACTTAGCGTAGGAATTATATTAAATTAAATGCTAAAAACTCTAATTAACATATGTAAATGCCACATGCATGATTTTAACCTTTTAAAAATTCGAATAGTCATATATAAGTAGCATATGAAAGATAGTAAATTAAATTGTGAAAAACTCTAATATATGAATGATAGTTTTAAAAATATATTAAATTTAATACTTTTAAAAATTCTCCAGTCAATTATAATTAGCTTATGAATGATAGTAAATTAAATGTTAAAAACTCTAATTAACATATGAAATTGCCACTTGCGTGATTTAAAACTTTTAAAAATCCTCTAGTCAATTATAATTAGCATATGAATGCTAGTAAATTAAATGTTAAAAACTCTAATTAACATACATATGAAATTGCCACCTGTGTGATTTAAAACTTTTAAAAATTGTAAGTATCACATATAACTAGCATATACATGATTTAAACTTGTTGAAACCTCTAATAATCGTGCGTAATTAACATATGCCATACATCAATTGATTTATATGGATAATCAATACATCCAAAATAGTTTACATCGTGTACACAATAATTACGGCACGTACTTTCTCCTCACTATTGTTCCCTCCTTGTGATCGCTGCGTGAGTAAGGGGTGTCTTCATTTGATAGGAGGATGCTAGGGTCAATCGTCACCGTGAAAGGGGGTTGCCCATCCAACTGATCGTAATCCTCGTCAGTCTTGTCCTCAACTCCGACGATTTTTCTTTTGCCTGGGAGAACCACTTGACGCTTAGGCTCATCAGGCCCTCTGCCCTTCTTTCCTTTGCTAGACATGTCCTTCACGAAAAAGACTTGCGTTACATCATTGGCAAGGACAAAAGGTTCGTCCGAGTATCCAACCTTGTTAAGGTCAACAGTTGTCATCCCACTGTCATCAATCATTACGCCTCCACCAGTCAACCTAACCCATTGGCACCGGAACAGAGGAACCTTGAGAGGACCATAGTCAAGTTCCCATATGTCCTCGATGGCACCGTAATACGTGGCAGTTGTTCCATCGTGTCCCATGGCATCGACACGAACATCGCTGTTTTGGTTCGTGCTCTTCATGTCTTGGGCTCTCGTGTAGAATGTGTACCCATTGATCTCATATCCCTTATATATATATATATATATATATATATATATATATATATATATATATATATATATATATATATATATATATATATATATATATATGCTGGCTTCCAGGCCCCTTTCCGAACACTACTTTAAGATCTTTAACCATAGCAAACACTGTTTTCCCTCTGCGATATTTAGGCTTCGTACGGTGGTCGGCCTTATGTTCGAAGTGCTTGCCTTTCTTCCGTACCGGGTGGTTTGCTGCAAGGAATCGACGATGACCCATGTATACAACCTTCCTACAGTGCTTAAGATACGTACTTTCTGTTTCATCCATACAGTGAGTGCAAGCCTTGTACCCCTTGTTGGACTGTCCGGATAGGTTGCTAAGTGCAGACCAATCGTTGATGGTTACGAACAGCAGCGCTCGTAGGTTAAACTCCTCCTGTTTGTCCTCGTCCCACACGGGGACACCTTCCTTCTTCCACAACTGTTTAAGATCTTCGACCAGTGGTCTTAGGTACACGTCGATGTCGTTACCAGGTTGCTTGGGGCCTTGAATAATAATCGGCATCATTATGTACTTCCTCTTCATGCATAGCCAGGGGGGAGGTTATAGATACACATCGTAACGGGCCAAGTGCTATGGCCGCTGCTCATCTCTCCAAAAGGATTCATGCCATCCGTACTCAAACCAAACCGTATGTTTCGTGCGTCCTTTCCAAATTCTTTAAATTTTCTGTCGATGTTTCGCCACTGCGAACCATCGGCGGGGTGTCTCAGCATCCCGTCCTGTTGACGCTCTTCAGCGTGCCATCGCAACATTCTAGCATTTCCCTTGTTCCTGAACAAACGCCTTAGCCGTGGTATTATATGGAAATACCACATCACCTTAGCAGGAATTCTCTTCTTTGTTAGCTGCCCGTCAACTTCTCCTGGATCGTCCCGTCTAATCTTGTATCGTAGTGCTTTGCAAACAGGGCATGCTTCTAGGTTCTCATACTCCTCACCGCGATATAGGATACAATCGTTCGGACATGCGTGAATCTTATGAACTTCCAGTCCTAACGGGCAGACTATCTTCTTAGCCTCGTACGTTGTCTTGGGCAATTTGTTTCCCCCCGGAAGAATGTTCTTGACGAGTTTCAATAAATCGCCAAATGCCTTGTCACTAACCCCATTTTTTGCCTTCCATTGCAACAACTCCAGAGTGGTATCCAACTTTTTGTGCCCCTGCTCGCAACCTGGGTACAACGAAGTTCTGTGGTCCTCCAACATCTTGTCCAATTTATGGGCCTCCTTTTCACTTTCGCAGTCCTCCCTGGCGTCCTGTAACATCTGACCAAGATCATCCGCAACGTCGTTACCATCAGCAGCTATTTCCTCCTCGCCCGTTTGATTTCCTTCAAATCCAACATACTGAGCAAAGTCCGGAATATTGTCGTCTTCCACTTCATCTTCTTCCATTTCAACACCTTGCTCTCCGTGGGATGTCCAACAATTATAGCTTGGCATGAACCCCGACTCAAACAAGTGGAAATGAATAGTCCTGGATGCAGAATACTCCTTCTGATTCTTACACTTATTGCATGGACAACAAATAAAACCCCTTTGCCTGTTAGCTTCGGCCACTCTCAAAAAATAGTGCACGCCGTCAATAAACTCTTTGGACCGCCGGTCAGCGTACATCCATTGCCGATCCATCTACATGAGTCAAAAAAACCGCACACAAATAATTATTCTTACAATAATGACAGTCATACAATAATTATAAGATATCTTTATTAATACAAAAATCATAAAATATTACACCAAATAATTCTTAAAAACTATTTGTAAAGTTTTAAACTAATTTTAATGTGTTTTACTTCTTTTAATTTTCATTTTAGTTTGTTTTCTATTATTTAAGATTAACTTTCACTAGAGTTTTCCTTCTCAACTATTTTATAAAACCTTGTTTAGCAAATGAACTAAATTTCTATATATTCTTTCTTCCCCACACACATTTTCTCTCTCATCAACTTACAACTAAATTTTGGAGACAAAAAAAAGTGTGCAAAACATAGGTGCAAATGTAGTATGACAAAAAAAAACATTGGAGGATGAAGTTGCAAACCTTTTAGGCACCTCCGATTTGTATGTAATCACCAAAATAAATTCAATAGAAATTTTGGCATGACCTCCCCTCTTTTTTGAAGTAATTTTGAAGCTTGCTCGGGCAGCTGGAGGAGGAAGAAGACATATATATAGGGGTGGGACTTTAGTCCCGGTTGGTAGCACCAACCGGGGCTAAAGATCACCGGGATCATTAGTCCCGGTTGGTATTACAACCGGGACTAAAGTTAAGATCTTTAGTCCCGGTTGGTAACACCAACCGGGGCTAAAGATCACCGAGATCTTTAGTCCCGGTTGGTAATACCAACCGGGACTAAAGTTAAGATCTTTACCAACCGGGACTAAAGATCCCGGGGGGGCCTGACAGGTCCTGACAGCATTCGAACCGGGACTAAAGATGATCTTTAGTCCCGGTTGGTAACACAAACCGGGACTAAAGATCAAATATGCCCGTTTCCCTTTTGAACCGGGACTAAAGATCATCTTTAGCCCCGGTTTTTATTGCATCCGGGACTATTGTGGAAATCGGCCGACCGACGAAAGATGGTTTCTCCACCAGTGTAGCAGTGAGGAGGGCATAGTACGCTAGATTCATTTTTCGGGGTTGCTCTACCATCGCCATGTCTACGTAGAAGCTCTTTTGCGGAGAGGAGGGGGAGATGAAAAGGAGGGGCGAATAAGGAGAGGCGATAGAGGAGGATAACGAAGGATTGGGAAGAGAAAGAAAAAAAAGGGAATGGATAAGAGTAAAACATTATCCACTTATCCCGTGTCTACGGGATACCGTATAGTAGATTTTCTGAGGGCTGCTACAAAACGGGATAGACATATTAACTATTCTCTTGCACGAATATCACAGGTATCAGTAGGGGTGGGCATTTGGTCAGACCGAAAAATTCTGTCTCAGTTATTTCGGTCTTTGAAAACTCAGGACCAAATTCGGTCTCGGTCTTTTCGGTTTCAGTCTCGGTCTGACCGAATTATTTCAGCCCGGCCAACCCTTCGCCACCTCCCTCTCCTCCAGCCCCACGAGCGCCACCATCGCCAAGGCCCTTCCCAGCGCGCCGCCGACGATGAGGGACAACAGCGGGTAGACGAGCAGCAGGAGGCCCCGGAGGAACCCGCCGGCCTCGACGGCGATGACCATGAAGAAGGTGAAGGAGGTGGCTAGTGCGATGGTGGCTGGCGGGGAGTGCGGCGGTGGCGCTGTGCGGGTGTAAGGGAGTGTGGGCGTGCGGCTGTGAGGGAGTGGCTGAGTGGGAGTTAGGTTGGATTCTAGGGTTTCGGTTTACTAGGCCTCAGTATATTGGGCTACAATTCGGTTTTTTCAGTTAACCGAGACCAATGACCGAATTACCCGAATAAATTTCGGTCTTTGACAGGCTGAGACCGAATTACTAACCGAATTTCTCGGTCTCGGTCTCGGTCTCGGTCTTTTTGGTTCGGTTCTTCGGTTCAGTCTTATTCTGCCCACCCCTAGGTATCAGGTCCTAGGTATCACAGGTACCGGGTAACAGGTATCACAGGTATCAGGTACCATGCGACTGGTACCACAACAGGTATCATGTACTGTCTTATAGAAGGATATCCCGTTCCAACGGGATACCGTTGTCTAGGTTTTCTGAACATAAAAAGATAAGTTTGTGATATTAACAAACGGCAAATTTATGCAGCAACTTAGTACTACAAATAAATAAACAAACAGAAGCTGATATTACACAAGCACAAGTACTAAAACGGAGAAACGGTAGCCGGTCAGCAAGTTGTGTCAAACTGTCAACCGCCAAAGGAACAAAGTGCACTTGGTTTGACTCTTGGGCCAATACAAACGCCCGGATAACGAGAACGAGAGTGTTTTCAGAACACTGCACCTGACCTGGTGCAGCACCCTCTGACCCTCTATCTCAGCTCTTGACACGTAGTACTACTAACATGTGCTGACACTTTGCCACAGCCCTCGCAACAGTAACATGAGCGATTTTAGCACTGAACCTTTGCAACAAATCCACCCACCTAATAAGAAATCAATAATCACCACTACGATCAAAACAGTGGCAACGCTGTACTATCACCAGTGAAACCCAGCAAAAAACCAAAGACATCTCCTACCGAAGTTGCTGCGATCTCGGTCAGCAGCGTACATGGGTTGTTGCGGCGTAGGCCCCCCTTAATCTGGGTCTCCGGACAAGAGAGGTAATCAGGCACATACTCTGCGCCATGTGCCACTGTTCCACTCTACCTTGACAATCTTCTTCAATCTTTGGGTCGCTCGGACATGGCTTGTCTCGTGTAACAGCAGGCACCCTGTAAATAAAAGCAGCAACTCACTCAACGCAATGCAGTAGTAACAACCACCAAAGGCCGGCGTCCAAAAACTCCTTGGATTGATAGTCTCAAAATGAAGCACATGCATTGGTAATTCAAGCCCCAGGACGATGAACAAATGATTTACCACTATGCATTGTATACCTTTCCTACTAAACGGGGAGGTGCCTCGTGCTCGTGCCTCTTGTCGGCTTTGCCTTGTACCAGCATCTTCTTCTATGCAGAGTTCCTTCTGCTGCTGCTGCTGCTGCTTCTATGGAGAATTCACCAATGAAACATCACGTCAGCCGACCATGGATAAGACTGGGCGAGCCTACAGGGAGCAAATCACAACGGGGCCGATCGAGTAAGCATCGTTACTTCATCAGGAGAGCGTGAGTCCAGGAGGTCATCAGGTCCAAAAAGGGCTAGTTTACACGGCGATCAGACACACGCCGACAGTTGTTCCAACGATATATGGACACTATTTGCGTCAAAAATATATGGACACTATGATATCTTACCCTGGACACTATAATAAAAGGTGGTAGTTTGTAAACAGAAAAGAGAGTGTAGAATTTACCTCAAGCAACAAGAAGCTGATCATCGAACTCCCTGTCCCCAAAGACAATGACCACTGACCAGTGCTTTCTCTTGAAGCTCTCCAGAATCACAAGATCACCGACATAACACCAGAAGCATGATCCTCTGTTCGGTAATACAGTTTAATACTTCAGGCACTATGAGATGTAGTATTACCTTTGTTTTCATTGAATCCCCTGCTTGTATGGTCAACGAAACTGGTAGCTGTAATACTTCTATTCCCATGGCTATTTATCCAGGGAGCAGCTGAGCAAATGAAAAATGTAATGACATTAGTAGTTACACCTGCGATAAATGTAGCCAAGGACGATGCGGTAAAAGGTTTCATCACAATTGTCAAAGCTTGAGTTCATCGCTTCATAAAAAATTAACAAATATAACAAATAACTTTCATCCTTCTGATATTTAGGTCAGGTTGTGGATTACCAGATTTAGTAGTAAAGCAATCCTCTTTTCAACACTCTTGATATAATAATAACAAGGATGTGGTACTCCAACATCTTCTTCAGACAATCACCAAGAGGGAAGTTCTGCTGTTCTGCACACTTAGCATTCCACATTGCAAATGCAAACAAACAGTTACCATCATACTTGAGGGGACTGACAATAAACATGGGTTTTTAGAACTTACCTTTCACCTTAAAGAAGCACTTGTGTGTGCTAGTTTGTAACAATTTTTCATAATGTGCTCCTTTAAAAGCAGGATTGTCCTTTCTCAGACACATTTGTCCTATTGTGTTATAATGTAGGGCCTTCTAGAACAATTCAACATGAAAAGTTGAAAACATCTAACATGGTCTTCGACATTGCTATTTCAAAATACATAGCTAAGATCCAGGATACGAGATCAATGTGGCAGCTAGCTCACTTGGTTGCATATCATATAGTCATCAATGTCCCATTACCAGCAAGCAGCAGAAGCATCTCCATTTGGGCCTGTCTTCTACCACTGCAAGAATTCTCTATAACATGTCACATCACCAAAACTATGCACGATACAGCATTTGGATGTCCTGCAACAGTTCTTATCGATAAGGATTAAGGAGGGGATGGCACTGTTGCAAAAAGTTCTTTCTATTTTTTTTTTCTGTCTTCTTTCTAAGACTAGCACTTCCTCAACCAATGAATAATTAACTACCTGCAAGTTGCCATGGAAAACGGAAATTGCAGTGGAATACCAAAGCTAATATTTGTTGCTTTTGTACACTTGTTGTAGTTTGCATCCTTAGAAAGTAAATACAACATTAAGACTTCACCACTTACATAGAAAGGTTGACATAAAATTGATAATGGGTAACCCATAATAAGAATGAATTCAAAGCCATATTGAAAATATAATTGATCTGACCAATGGTTTCATATTTAAAGCAATAGAAAGTGATATATGGAGTTGCAATCTGACTATCTGAGTGGGATTTGTGCAATTCATAAGCAGCAAACAGTCAAGAAATGATACACCTTGGGTGTGAAGCTGCTATCCTCTTTTGTGTGTTCCTAATAAATGAACAGATTTGCCATTGGGTTGCTTTCCACATCTGACATGTCAATTCATTGATTGATTTTGTTAAAATTATGCAGTATTTTTTTTTGCGATAGAATTATGCAGTAATTGTTGAAGCATTCCTTCACAAACATATACCATGTAGAGCCAGAAACACATATTGATTCAGCAGAAGTTAAGATTCTTCTATTCTTCTGAATCAATCACCTGCATCATCTCAAGAACAAATAATCCCAAGCACAAAAATTGTGACAAAATTTCGAAGAGAGTAACAAATAATAAGGCAAGAGGAAAATATGTAATCTACTTCCAACTATCTATTAAAATCTTAGTGTACAAAAGCAATTCATTTTTTCATGTTTCAATACCAGAAGTGACCCAATTAAACCTGGTAAGAGAAGTCTCCTTTATTGAGACTCGCTGTAAAAAAAAAGGTAATTTAATTTCTCATGTTCAAGACAATAAGTGACCCAGCAATCAAGCCTGCCCTGAGAAGTTTATGGCGCATTTTATTGTTCAGACTTATTATTGTTAAGTAACAACAACGTTTTCAAAAACATTAAATACTGTATTTGCAATGGAAGGATATCAGCCTAGTTAAAGAACTAAATAATTCTATCTACCTTTTGACAAAGCGTGTCTTTTTCAATCAATTCCAGCTAGAGCACTAGAAAAAAACTGTTGTACAGGGGAAATATTGTATAAAATTTTACCAAAAATCCCCACATGAACAGTAACCATCTTTAAAGTGGTGAAACCGATTTGAATCACGGACAATGATCTCCCTCTCAGTTATTTTTGATATATACTTGGTAGCATTATGGCAATCACCACACACCCGCAAATTCTTGTATATATGGAGCGGAGTTCTAGGAGGAGTATTTATAATGCCAAAGGCTATAGCCAATCTCTCACTATGATTATTCAATATCTGTTCCTTTTCATCCTCCTCCACATCCTGTAGAACAAAACTATAGTCAGGAACATAACCTAGACTTCTTATCTTTGCCAACAGATCAAGTAGCTCTCTCTGGATCTCTTCATGTTGAGGGTGGATGTTCATCTGGTTACCACTGTAAAATACGTTCACTGATCTTTTCACCTCAATTGAACTCCATCCAGGGGTTTTTTGCAAATTCTGACGTCTGACCAAAGATCTTACTTCATCAACTCCATCCCACTTCCCAACCTTTGCATACATATTAGACATTAGAACGTAATATCCAACGTTCTTTGGATCAAGTTCAAACAAGTTTTGTGAGGCCACTTTTCCCATTTCAACATTTCCATGGATCCTACAAGCACCCAGCAGAGCACCCCAAATAGCAGAATCAGGTTTAATCGGCATGTTCCGAATGAAATCAAAAGCATCATCCAACTGACCAGCTCTTCCAAACATGTCTACCATGCAAGCATAATGTTTTGCAATTGGCTTAATACCATATGCAGTTTGCATCATATTAAAGAAATTCCGGCCTTGGTCAACTAAGCCAGCATGACTACAAGCAGCCAATAGTGAAACAAATGTGACATGATCAGGACTGATTCCTTCCTGCTGCATTTGCGAGAAGAGACTGAGTGCCTTTGCACCATGTCCATGAACTCCAACGCCAGATATGACGGCGTTCCAGGGGCCTGTACTCCTCCTAGGCGTTTGTTCAAACAAAAGCATTGCCTCATCCAATTTCCCACATTTAGCATATAAGTCTATCACACAAGTGCCGACATATACATCCAGGTTTAATCCAGTCTTAATAGAGAGTGCATGCATTCGTGTGCCCTGCTGCAAGGCACCAAGATGTGAGTATGCAGGCAAAACACTGACAAAGGTTCCTTGAATCGGCTTCAGACCCTCATGCTTCTGCATATGGTCATATACATGGATTGCCTCACTGGCAAGTCCATTCTGCATATACCCTGTGATCAGCGTGTTCCAGGATACAGCATCTCGAACTGGCATGCTGTCAAACATCCTCTGGGCAGCCTCAATCTTTGATAGCTTGGCATACATATCAACAATAGCGTTTCCTGCAATGATGTCACCGACATCCCACCCCCGCCTTACCATATAGCAATGCACTGATCTCCCACCACAGATATCCCCACATTGAGCAATAGCAGATGCCAGGCTCAAAAGCGTTAGAACATCAGGGGAGACCCCACTGTCCCTCATACCACAGAACATCTCGACAGCAGAAGCAACCTGCCCGCCCTGCTCATGCCCTGAAATGATTGAATTCCATGTCACAAGATCCCGCGACGACATTCCATCGAACACCTTCCGCACCTCCTCCAGCATCCCCAGCTTCCCATACACATCGATCATCGCGTTACAGACGAACAGCTCGTCATCCAGCCCGTGCTTCACCGCATACAAGTGCATGGCCAGCGCGAGCGCCCTGTCCCCAAGCAGGACGCACATGGGCAGCACGCTGGAGACCGTCACCGCGTCCCCGGCGACGCCCTCCATGACCATCCTCCCGAACAGGCCCACCGCCTCGGCCGCGCGCGCGTTGCGGCAGAGCCCTGACAGCATGGCGTTCCAGGCGGGCACGTCCCGGTGGCGCATTTCGTCGAACGCCCTGTAGGCGTCGCGGACGCGGCCGAAGCGGAGGTAGGCGTGCACGAGTGCTCCCGAGGCGAAGGCGTCGCCGCGGAGGAGGCCGAGGCGGAGCGCGCACGCGTGGAGCTGCGCGGCGGTGCCCGGGCCCTGGGCGGCGCGGAGGAGCGGCGGGAAGGTGAAGGCGTCGGGGCGGAGGGGGAGGAGCGGGGAGGAGAGGAGGAGGTGGCGGAGGAGCGGGAGGGCGAGGCGGGGGAGGGAGGCGCGGGAGAAGGCGGAGATGAGGGTGTTGGCGAGGAGCAGCGGCGCATGGACGTGCGGGTCGAGGCGGCGGAGGTGGCCGGAGGTGACGACGACGGCTTCCACGCCGCGGGGGAGGAGCGCCGGTGTCCGCATTGGTGGAATGGGTGGTTGTTGGTCCCGCCCCCCGCGCGGGACGTTTTTGCCGAAAATTTGACAAATTGGTCCTTGTATAGAACTTATTTTAAAAATAAACCGCGTCGAAAACTAATTTTAAAAATAATCCGTAACCTCGACGTCATCGTGACACCATCATCGACGCTGAGATTATATCTGACGTGGTACAAATTAACCAAAGGAGCTCGATTTGTTTGGTTAAAAAAACGTGTAAGCTATTAAAACCACTTTTTTACAAATTGATCCTTTTAAAAAACTTATTGCGAAACTAGACCATATAAAAAACTTCAGCCAAAAATAGATCACGGGTTCAGCGCTAAGGCCGTTGGCGCTAAGAGCATTCCCAGCAACTCATCCAAATTTGATCCTCCATATTCCCATATGGATGGCCATCTAAAAAGATTCCTCTTCCATATATCTTCTCACTTCAAGCAGATCATCCAAATTACATCCTCCATATCACATCCTTCTATATTTTAGTAATATCTTCCAACTAACTTTACATTTGTATATGTATTTGAAGAGATATATTTTGAATGACTTAATTTAACAGTGTTATTTATCATGATAATATTTCGAAATGAATAAATTTTAACGGATATATTTTTAATTGATAATTTTTAACTGATATATTTAAAATGAGTATAAAAGCGATGCAAGTAACATGTACTATTATATTTATTGTCTACTAGTACTACTATTCAACTATTTCTTCTTTTGCTACTAGTACTACTCTGCATCGAGCTCAACTATTTCTTCTTTCTTCCTACTAGTACTACTCTGCATCGAGCTCAGAAGCTTGTGGGCGAGCTGAGGGGCGGCGGTGGCTATGCAGCCGAGGGGCGACGGTGGTCGGGCAGGCGAGGGGCGGCGGCGGCTGTGCAGCCGAGAGGCGGCGGCTGTTGAGTGGGCGAGGGGCGGCGGCGGCTATGCAGCCGAGGGGCGGCGACGGTCGAGCAGCGAGGGGCGGCGGCGGACAACCGGCGAGGGCGCATCTGGACAGGGAGGAGGCATGCGGTGGCCGTGGAGGCTGCGCGCAGAGGAGTCCTGATGAGGGCGACGCGGTGGAGGAGCAGCAGTGCGAGCGGTGGGGCGGCGCGGACGGTGGGGCCTCCACTCCGGCGATCTCCAATGGCAGACCCGGTATGTCCATCATCTCTATTCCCCCATGGTACAATCCGAATGGTGGCGTGAGTCGTCGGAGCTAGGCAGTTGGGGGGATGGCGTGAGGAGAGAGAAACGCCAAATTTGGCATGGAGAGGGCTCTGTTTGGAGGATGTCTAAAAATGGCGTGTGTGATGGAGTGTTTGCTGGAGCATGATTTATCCCCTCCATACGCTAAACAAAGGATGGATGGCCGGATAGAAGAGCTGCTGGGCATGCTCTAAGGTAGTACGTACAAGCGCCAGCATCATTAGCGCTGACCCTCTGTTCACGTGGAGCCAAGGTCTGATCCCCCTCGCCGACATGGCAGGGGCTCAGCGCCAAATAAATTGGCGCTTACACGCTAAGTTCAGCGCTAGGCGTAATGGCGTTGAGCTTTGGGACTTAGCCGCTCGCCACCGCTCCTGTGTTGGGCACTGTTCTGGCGCTAAGAGGTCAGCGCCAGCTGTATTGATGCTATGGTCATAAAGCTCAGCGCTAGCGTTGAGATATGGCCCCTGGTAGAAAGCTCGCAGCTAGCTCTCTGCCCAGTCTTCACCTGCATCCAAAATCCATAATCCCAGCCAACTCTTCCCGTAGCATCCAAAGTCCATACACATTCATCCATCCTAATACATACACATCCATCACATCCACATGCATCACAAGATTCATAATTACACCCATCCACGCACATAAGCCTAAACACATCCATAGACAAAAGCAAAATATAAGTTACAAGTCACAATATCCATACAAGTCGAAATATAAGCAGCCATGCCACCTCCTCCCTCCCCATCCTCTCATCCGCCTCGCCATCGGCAAAGCCAGTCGGTTGCAAGGATGGCGGCGGCAGGGCTCTCCCTCCTCGCTCATAGTCATGGCAGCCAGGGCACCAACAAGGCCGGTGCTTTAGGACTAGCAGCAGGCAGGGACACTGGTGTCTAGATCCGGCGTCGGCTTGGTCGCATCTGGTCCCTCGTGGTTGCTTTCATCAGCGGATCGAGACAATAGTAGCGAGTTGGTGGTCGTGTGGTGCGGCGGGGTGAGGGATGTGGCCGACGGTGGAGGAAGGCTGGCGCGACATGCTCGTCGAGGTTGGACCACATATTCGGTGGCTGAGGTCATCCAGGCCGGGCCTACTCAGATCCGCTTAGCGGGAGATCGACAATAATGGCGACGACGACGATGATGACGGCAGCTGCTGCAACGATAGACACTAGCATCACCAGATCTGGTGCTAGCGAGGCCATATCCGGCATCCTCGTGGCCTAGCGCATGGTGTAGTGGTGACTGATGGCAATGGTGTTCGTAGACGGCGTGGCCACCACCATCAAGGTGAGGGATCGGTGGGAGCAACTGTGGCAACTTGCCACAATGGTGGTGGCTGCTCCTCTCCTCTCGTTGAAGGGAGGATGACGTTGTTGGTTGCGCTGCAGTTGGGAGGGAATGGCTTCGACGACTACCGAGTGTCCATCGATATTTGTCTCCTTCCTCTCGTGCTTGCTTGCCGGTGAGGCTGGGTCTCCCGAGGCAGTGGAGAGGCGGCTATGTTAGTGGGGTTTGTGGAAGGAAGCGTGGAGGAGGCCCTTCAAAGTGGCCTCTTGCTTGCTTGCCGGGGGACAGTGGGGTGTTGGTCGGTTGCCGTGCGCCGAAGGTGTTCGGAGGGTGGGGCCGCTAGTTTTTACGGTGACGCTTTGACATGCGAGGGTTGGGAGATTTTGGGAGGAAGCCAAGTCCTTTCAGGGCCGACAGTGGGGATGCTCTGGAACACCACCGTAACCCCGCTAGGGGCATTGTCGTGGCGTCTCTCCCATCCATGGTGGAATCCTTAGGTGAAAACCACACCCTGGTTTCCAAGGTGGCGGATGGCGGCACCATCAGCATCGAAACCTTATTGAATGCGTCGTTTGGAGGTCTTTCCAGCCAAACTCCTGTCTAGACTTTGTCCTCTTATGGTGGCATATAAGTTGCCAACGTTGGCGTTCCTATTGGGAAAGAGCGGATTCATTCTTCTCTCTCACCCTCTCCCCCCTTCAACCGTTAGATGTGGATAGAGAGGAGTGTGTTGGGTGTCGTGCTCCTGTTTGCTCCCAGTAACGGGTGTTTGTGTCATAGGCGCTTGGCTTGGCTGGCCTTTTGTTTGTTTCCTGATTATAGCCTCTCAGAGTTATTTTCTTGTACTATTTTTCCTGCTATATCAATATGAAACCTTGCACTATCATATTGTTCATTTAAAAAAATATATAATATTGTTTGTAAAAAAAAAATTACACTAGTTACACACTACTAGAAAAACGATTTTTCATGGCAGTATCATATTTTTTCATTGTCGGTTATATAAGAAATCTGCTTGCAAAATTCTAATGAGGGATAGTGGGTTTAGGACCGCTAGTGAAAATCTATTTTCGCTGGTGGTGAGTTTAGAAGTCCGCTTGCAAAAATATCCATATTTTTGCTGACGGACCACTTATCCTACCGCCAACGAAAATCTATTTTCGCTGGCGGGGACCGCGCCGCTCTGGCCCTTGAAAAAAATCACGGCATTAAAAATCCACCTACCCATCCTTATCTCCTCCTCCGTTCACTCCACCTACCCATTCTTATCTTATCTCCTCCTTCCACTCCCTCTCTCCCTCCAACCACAAGTGTGAGCGGCGAGCTCGGGCACGGGCGGCAGCATGCTCGGGCACGGGCGAAAGGGAGGGCGAAGGAGAGGGCTGGCGCGGGCGGCTGCGAGCTCGGTCGCGGGCAACAGGGAGGGCGGTGGCGGTTGGCGGCGCTCGGGCGCGGGTGGGGAGGCCGAATCCGGTGCCGCCGGGCCACGGGGAGGCATGATCCGCCGCCGCCGCGCCGCGGGGAGGCCGGATCCGCCGCGGGGACAAGGCCGCCGCCACCGCGGGGGACAAGCCCAATGCCGGTGGAGCTACTCCTGATCCAGGTCTACCGCCTCATCACCTTCCAAGGTCAGCACCCATCCGTTCTTGCGCTTCGATTCGCCATTTTTGTTGACGCGGCAATCTGAAATCCGTGTGTGGTGGTGGTGGATGCGCAGTGGTAACGAAGACGCTGTGGGTGAGGAAGAACGAGAAGATGCGGCGGTGTGAGGCCATCAGGCATCAGCACGACCAGCTCCGGCGAGGCGACCCGCTCGCCGATGTAGCCAAGGAGGAGATGCAGCGGCGGTGGCGAGGGGACTTCAATTTTTTTTGTTATTGTGTTGATTTTTGTGATGCTTGAATGCTTGGGTGAATGAAAATTCTTTAATGTAAGTTTCTGTGGAATTTTGAATGCTTGGGTAAATTTCTGTAAAATTTTTGAATGGTGGAGCGTTGACGGAGGCAGACGGAGTGGTGTTGCTCCGTCCGTCGTTTTTTTTTAAACTTAGCCAGTATTAACACTAGCGGCTGGTACCTGGGACCCGCCAGCGATAATTCATTTTCGCTGGTGGCCGTCTTAAGGCAACCACCAGCGAAAATGAATTTTTGCTGGTGGCTGGCTTAAGACAACTGCCAGCGAAAATGAATTATCGCTAGCGGTAGCGAAGATCTACATTTTCATTGGTCTTTGCTTTGTGGCGGCTGCGATTTCCGCCTGCGAAAACCCAAAATGGCTGTCATGAAAGATGGTTTTCATAGCAGTGACACCTATTTTGAGTTTGTGCCACTAAATGGATACGGATGTTACTAATGGGTCAGAATCTCGTTCTTTGGCATAATAACCTGGTTGCAAAGATTGTACATACTACTCTAAATAATGATAAAGATATATTTAGACAGAATCTAGGTAAACCATTCTTGGTTTGTTATATATATTTAGCCTTGATAAACAATGCTTATATAGAGAGAAAAACCTGAAGATGCCTCTTAAAATAAAATAAAATAAAGATCTTTACGTGATATTTATTAAAGGTTGTGATGTTAAATAAGGATAATTTGGCATAATTTGGCATGAGGTAATTGAAATATCAGTAAACAAATATTGCTTTTGTTAACATGATGAATCTATCCAACATTTGTTTTTTTTTTATTTTTCACTTTGCTAAATTTATATCGAGAATTGTTCATGTTTCTTTTCAACTGGAACCACCAAATAATTTATGACAATTATTGCCATTGACTCAAGATTAAAAAAAAGAGCATGTTTTAGAATGGCCATCTGTTTTATGTTGGACTTTATACATTACTAGGAATAATATGGTTCTTATGAAACTTCAACTAAATATTATATATATGTGGCTATTTTAAAGCAATATGTTAGCTACGGTTTTAGTCCTAGTTACAAAGGACTGACATGGAAAAAAAACTCATTTAGAGTATGCGCCAAAGTTTGGAGACAGCTGTCCTGAAAATCTTTACCAACTTTAGGTGAAGATTTATCATGTACTTTATAATAAGTGGTTTGTAGATTATTTTTTAAGAAAAATGCCAGTATATTAATTATCTAAAAAGTTAAAATAATGTATCATGGTGATATTTATATACAGTATCATTTACATAAAAAAGCAAAAATCTTTATTGGTGCGTTTAGGAGTACGTAACAATACGCAATGTGGATAGAGCTTTCGAAAACAATTAAATGATACCACATCAAATAAACAGATAAGCCTTGATAAAAGAAAACAACAACAACAATAATAATATAATAATTAACACATATGATGTGTGCTTATTCAAGCTAGAACACTAGCTTAATTAGGTGGCATCTTTGTAATTATTAGTAGCAGCAGCAGCAGCAGCAGAATAAGAATTATTTGGAAGAAATTACATAATTCGCAAACAGGAACTACGTACCCTTTAATCTTCTCGTATTTTATATATGCATATAGATGTCAATCTTTCACATGCGACCGTTTGAGGGCCGTCGCCGTCCTCCTCCATCGACATCAGCATCCTAGCTTTGCATGGATATCTCTCTCTATCTTTCTTTGATCCTGTGTCAACTAATATATCTGAATCATGTCATATATCATCGAAAAATTATTAAGCTTCTCTTCATGCATGAAAATTTTCTATATCTTTTGTTTGATTAAGCTAGTAAAATCTTTTTCATAGTTAAACTTATTTCGGTCTCATCAATTTTATAGAAAATAATAATAACATCTACAGTACTACTAAATTAGTTTAATTAAACGTACCATTGAGTATATCAAAACAATATGTTTGTTTTGTGTTGAAATATTTTTATAATTTTTTCTATAAACTCGATTAACTAAAAGAAATTGATGTTACATGCATTCATGATCGTATTAGTAGTATATTTATGCGTGTGAGAACTCAGAAGGCTCACTTTTGCTTCCTCTTTTGGAGGAATCGCTGCAGCGACGCCTTCCTGGCGATCGGCATCACGCCGCCGGCGGAGACCCCCGAGGCAGCCGGCATCTGCGGCGGCGGCAGCAGCATGGGCGGCTCGTCCGGCGGGGGAGTCACAACGGTGACATTATTGTTTTTGTTCCCACCGCCGCCGCCGGCGGCCGCAGCCAGCAGATGCTGCGTGCGCTGCACCAGCTTCTCGGCCGCCTCCGCCGTGTAGTGCTCGAACACCAGCACCTGGCCGCCGTAGACGATGGTCAATGGCGCCGTCGGCGCCGTCGCCGGCACCGACGGCGTCACATGCACTTCCGGCCTGCATGTACACGACCAAGTAAATTAAGAGAGATGATCGTACATTAGGCGATACCGGAAATTAAGAGGCCTTTAATTTGCAATATATGTTCACCGTCGTCGTTCTTGGGCCGCCGCCGGCGCCGGAGCCGGCGACACGACGACGCCGTCTGCGGATCGCGTGGGGAAGAGCTGCATGGTCCGGGCGTCGACGACCATCTTCTCCTTGGCCTCCGCCGCCGCCGCCGCCGGCCAGATCACGGCGCCTCCGGCGGCGGCCTGCTGCTCCGGCGCCGTCGTCATGCACGGTGGCTGCGGCGGCTGGCCGCGCCTGGCGGCGGCGGGGAGCATGGCGCCACCGCCAGCTGCGCCGACGGCGTCCATCTCTCGCGTCCGGCCTTTCTCCTCCTTGAACGTACTATACCTAGCTAGCTTACCATCTCTTGTGTTGGCGAAGCTGCGTGGGTTCCGGGGATGGGACGACTGTTCGTACGGTACGGTGTGGGGGTGGTTTTTCTTTTCTTTTGTTTTCTTTGGCGCGGCTCTCTCGCGGTCCGGATTAAACCTTGCCGTGCATGTATGCGCGCGCACAGGGGGCACGTGAGAGTGCTATCCTATCCGAACCTCCATCGATAAAATAACGGTTGGGAGATAAAACGCGATCCAACGGATACTCTATTCCAACCTCTAAATTTAGTACATCCTTCACGTTCCCCAGCAGATAAGCTCATATGCTATCCTATCCGGACCTCCATCGATAAAATAACGGTTGGGAGAAGAAAAACATGATCCAGCGGATACTCCATTCTAGCCTCTAAATTTAGTACATCCTTCATCTGGGAGAGAGACGCTAAATTTGGTGTTCCTCTCTCCTCACATCATGTCGTCATCCCTCAACCGCCGGTCTCCGCTGTTGAGTTGTGATCCAAATTCATTTGCACTTAATATCGTCATCCCTTTTAGGGTTCCACCATATATATACATCTTGTAAGCCCCCGTGCGGCGATGTAACCTCACCTCAGATATAGTGAAGATATTTTGCTGGCTGGCGCCCGTGGTTTTTTCTCTCCTGTTTTGGGAGGGTTTTCCACGTTAAATCTCGTGTCTTCTGTGATTGATCTATTGTTCTTTATCGTTTGTTCGCTTATCGTTTCCTAACAAGTGGTATCAGAGCTTGTTCCCACATTAGGGTTTTGCGATGGCGTCGATAAAGTATGATCTACCGCTGCTAGACTACAAGACGAGATTCTCGCTGTGGCAAGTCAAGATGCGGGCTATTCTGGCGCAAACTTCGGATCTTGATGAGGCGCTGGAAAGCTTCGGGAAGAAGAAATCGACTGAATGGACCGCTGAGGAGAAGCGGAAAGATCGTAAGGCTCTGTTGCTGATCCAACTTCATCTATCTAATGATATTTTACAAGAAGTGTTGCAGGAAAAGACTGCTGCAGAACTTTGGCTCAAACTGGAATCGATCTGCATGTCTAAAGATCTAACCAGTAAGATGCATATCAAGATGAAGTTGTTCTCGCACAAGTTGCAGGAGAGTGGTTCTGTGTTGAACCACATATCGGTCTTCAAGGAGATCGTTGTAGACCTAGTGTCGATAGAGGTACAGTTTGATGATGAAGATTTAGGTCTTTTACTGTTATGCTCACTGCCTAGTTCATATGCAAATTTTCGTGACACCATACTTTTAAGCCGTGATGAACTAACCCTAGCGGAAGTTTATGAGGCGCTCCAAAACAGGGAAAAGATGAAAGGTATGGTTCAGTCTGATGCGTCGTCCTCTAAGGGCGAAGCATTGCAGGTCAGAGGCAGATCTGAGCAGAGAACCTACAACGACAGCAGTGATCGTGACAAGAGCCAGAGTAGAGGCCGTTCCAAGTCCAGAGGTAAAAAGTTTTGTAAGTATTGTAAAAAGAAAAATCACTTCATTGAAGAATGTTGGAAGCTGCAGAATAAGGAGAAAAGGAAATCTGATGGTAAGGCCTCTGTTGTTACTAGTGCTGAAAACTCTGATTCAGGAGATTGTCTTGTCGTTTTTGCTGGTTGTGTTGCTAGTCATGATGAATGGATTCTTGATACTGCATGTTCGTTTCATATCTGCATTAACAGAGATTGGTTTAGTTCTTACAAGTCTGTGCAGAATGGAGATGTTGTGCGCATGGGAGATGATAACCCACGTGAGATTGTGGGCATTGGCTCCGTACAGATCAAGACACATGATGGCATGACACGCACGCTGAAAGATGTGAGACACATACCAGGGATGGCGAGAAATCTCATCTCTCTCAGCACACTTGATGCAGAAGGATACAAATACTCCAGTTCAGGTGGAGTTGTAAAAGTATCGAAAGGTTCTCTCGTTTATATGATTGGTGATATGAATTCTGCAAACTTATATGTCCTTAGAGGAAGTACATTACATGGTTCTGTTACCGCTGCTGCTGTTTCTAAAGATGAACCTATTAAGACTAACCTGTGGCATATGCGTCTTGGACATATGAGTGAACTTGGTATGGCAGAATTGATGAAGAGGAACCTGCTGGATGGCTGCACTCAGGGTAAGATGAAGTTCTGTGAGCACTGTGTTTTTGGTAAGCACAAGAGGGTAAAATTCAATACCTCAGTTCATCGCACCAAAGGTATACTTGATTATGTACATACTGATTTGTGGGGGCCTTCTCGTAAGGCCTATCTTGGTGGTGCTCGTTATATGCTTACCATTATTGATGATTACTCTAGAAAAGTGTGGCCTTATTTCCTGAAACATAAAGATGATACATTTGCTGCTTTTAAAGAGTGGAAAGTCAGGATAGAAAGGCAAACTGAAAAGGAGGTAAAAGTACTTCGCACTGACAATGGTGGTGAATTCTGTTCGGATGCTTTTGATGATTATTGCAGGAAGGAAGGCATCGTTAGGCATCACACCATCCCGTACACTCCACAGCAGAATGGTGTGGCTGAGCGCATGAACAGAACCATCATCTCCAAGGCTCGTTGTATGCTATCCAACGCTCGCATGAACAAGCGTTTTTGGGCAGAGGCTGCTAACACCGCCTGCTACTTGATCAACAGGTCGCCTTCTATCCCACTTAATAAGAAAACTCCCATTGAGGTATGGTCTGGTATGCCTGCTGATTATTCACAATTGAGAGTTTTTGGATGCACTGCTTATGCTCATGTTGATAATGGAAAATTAGAGCCTAGAGCTATTAAGTGTCTGTTTCTTGGTTATGGTTCAGGAGTAAAAAGATATAAGTTATGGAATCCTGAAACTAATAAGACCTTCATGAGAAGGAGTGTTGTTTTCAATAAATCTGTTATGTTTAATGACAGCTTGCCCACAGATGTCATACCAGGTGGTTCTGATGAGGAGCAGCAATATGTTAGCGTGTAGGTGGAGCACGTGGATGATCAGGAAACTAAAATTGTTGGTAATGATGTTAATGATATTGTTTAGTACTCACCTCCTATTTTGCAGCCACAAGATGAACCTATTGCACATCGCAGAACAAAGAGGAGTTGTGGAGCTCCAGTCCGCCTTATTGAGGAATGTGATATGGTTTATTATGCTTTTAGTTGTGCTGAACAGGTGGAGAATACTCTTGAGCCAGCCACATATACTGAAGCTGTTGTTTCTGGAGACCGTGAGAAGTGGATCTCAGCTATGCAGGAGGAGATGCAGTCTCTTGAGAAGAATGGCACATGGGAGCTTGTGCACTTGCCAAAACAGAAGAAGCCTGTTCGTTGTAAATGGATCTTCAAGAGAAAGGAGGGCTTATCTTCTAGTGAGCCTCCAAGGTTTAAGGCAAGGTTAGTAGCAAAAGGTTTTAGTCAAATTGCTGGTGTTGATTATAATAATGTGTTCTCTCCAGTTGTAAAGCATAGTTCAATTCGCACATTCTTCAGTATTGTTGCTATGCATGATCTTGAGCTTGAGCAGTTAGATGTGAAGACAGCATTTTTATATGGAGAGCTTGAGGAGGAGATATACATGGACCAGCCAGAAGGGTTCATAGTACCTGGTAAGGAGGATTATGTTTGCAAGTTGAAAAGATCTTTGTATGGTTTGAAACAGTCTCCTCGTCAATGGTATAAAAGGTTTGATTCATTTATGTTGTCACATGGCTTTAAGAGGTCTGAATTTGATAGCTGTGTGTATATTAAATTTGTTAGTGGATCACCTATATACTTGCTGTTATATGTTGATGATATGCTGATTGCTGCCAAGAGCAAGGAACAAATCACTACATTGAAGAAACAGTTGAGTAGTGAGTTTGATATGAAGGATCTTGGTGCTGCTAAGAAAATTCTAGGTATGAAAATCACTAGAGACAGAAATTCTGGTTTGTTATTTCTTAGTCAGCAAAGCTACATTAAGAAGGTTCTTCAGCGTTTTAACATGCATGATGCAAAGCCTGTTAGTACTCCTATTGCACCTCATTTTAAATTATCAGCTTTACAATGTGCTAGTACTGATGAGGATGTAGAATACATGTCTAGAGTTCCATATTCTAGTGCCGTTGGTTCTTTGATGTATTCCATGGTTTGTTCCCGTCCAGATTTATCTCATGCTATGAGTTTGATTAGTAGATACATGGCGAATCTTGGTAAAGAACACTGGAAAGCTGTTCAATGGATTTTCAGGTACCTCAGAGGCACAGCTGATGCTTGCTTGAAGTTTGGCAGGACTGATAAGGGGCTTGTTGGATAGTTGGATTCTGATTTTGCTGCAGATTTGGATAAGAGAAGGTCACTCACAGGTTATGTGTTTACCATTGGTAGTTGTGCTGTGAGTTGGAAGGCAACATTGCAGCCTGTTGTTGTCCAGTCTACCACTGAAGCAGAATACATGGCTATTGCTGAAGCATGTAAAGAATCAGTTTGGTTGAAAGGATTGTTTGCTGAGCTTTGTGGAGTTGATTCTTGCATTAACTTGTTCTGTGACAGTCAAAGTGCTATCTGCCTTACTAAAGATCATATGTTTCATGAGAGGTCAAAGCACATTGATATCAAGTACCATTATGTTCACGATGTAGTCGCGCAAGGTAAGCTAAAGGTATGCAAGATAAGTACTCATGATAATCCTGCTGATATGATGACAAAGCATGTTCCTGTTGCTAAGTTTGAGCTTTGCTCAAGCTTAGTTTGTATAGTGGTTTAGCCCAAGAGGCTATTTGGCGCCGAAAGTGTTTTTGTCTTTGTTGTGTTCAGGGTGAAGGATTGATTCATGCTACAAGAAGGAATTTGTCTCAAGGTGGAGTTTGTTGAGTTGTGATCCAAATTCATTTGCACTTAATAAAGGCCAGCTTCTGCCGTAGCGGAGCGAAAATGTGTTTTAAGAGGATTTATGTTGCATTGAAGCCTTGCATGGATGGTTTTTTGGCTGGCTGTAGACCATATTTAGGTGTAGATGCAACTAGATTAACTGGTAAATATACTGGTCTGTTAGCTTCTGCAACTGGTGTAGATGGTCACAACTAGCTGTACTATGTAGCATATGCTATATTTGACTCAGAGACAAATAACAACGGGCTCTGGTTTATGCGACAACTTAATAAAAACATAGGAACCCAGAAGGTCTAGTTATTTCAACAGATGCTTGCAAGGGGTTGAAGAAAGCATGTGATGCTGCTTTTGAAAAGGTTGAGCATAGGGAATGCATGAGACATCTCTATGCTAATTTCATGAAGAAATACTAAGGGCCAGTCTTCAATG